ACAGTCTTCGAATCCGGTAGCCATAATAACCTTTCCTCCTTCCCTTCTTTCACCATCCTCTTTTTCCTCAAGTTTATTCAATATGCTTAACTACTACTAGTACTACTATTATGTTGATATCAGATTTTAATACCCTGAAATTAATATGATCACAATAACAATGTTTCTCATTGTGTTTCTATAATTGACAGCTCATTTTTATAATAAAATATACCTAGTCAGTTACTGCTGCTGTGATTGTTTCTATATTTGTGTTTCTATATTGTATGTGCTTATATTTTTTCAGGTTGCTTCGCGAATTTTGAGTTATTTAGCCACAATTGTTAACGGTGCTTCACTTTTTCCTTGCAGATATTTGACATCATTGGTTATCTTTATCAATATCTTAAATTATTGCGTCAACTTTCCCCTCAAGAATGGATATTTAATGTTGTTTTTGATAAATAAAACTAGGAAGCTATATTTATTTCTAATTTCTGGTATTTGCTGCTGCATTCCATTAACTATTCCTTTTGTTTCTTTGTTGCAGAAAATTTGCTTGTTTATCCACCAGAACATGTTATCTTTGGAGACTATGTCTATGAGTTATGGGATAAGGAGACGATAAGAAAGATTCTAGGTTTCTTCACTCCCAGAAACATGAGAATTGATGTAGTAACAAAATCCTTCAAGCTAAATGGTACCATGTTCTGTTATATTTAGTCATCATATTCTTATTATAAAATATTGGACCATGTTTCTATGTTCCAAGAGTCTAAGAACAATGACGATCTAATTTGAAGTCATATGGCTTTCTTTGATTTGCAACTACTAGTTGGTTAGATTGTCCCTTTTACATTGTAAATTCCCACAATTATCATGTTTCTTATGTTATGTTGATTTTGTTTAACTAAAATGTACTTAATTTCTTTTATTTATACTGATAATTATGGGAAAGCAACTGAGTGCATATACTCTCTGACACACAATGTGTGTCATCTTCATTTATGACGAGGGCTTCAATGACACGCAATGTAAGTCATACATGCGTGTCATAAATTTATGACACACAAATATGTGTCATCTTCATTTATGACGGGGGCTTCAATGACACGCAATGCGCGTCTTAAATGTGTGTCATAAATGCGTGTCATAAATACGCGTCATAAATTTATGACACACAGTTGCGCGTCATCTTAAATTCATGTCGGTGGCTTCAACGATAGGCAAATGTGTGTCATGCGCACCCATAGATGACACGCAATACGCGTCATTAAAGAGGTTTTTTCTACTAGTGTTGCTTCTTGAACTTGTCAATAGTGGCCTCCAGCTCAGCTATGGTTTCTCCATCTTGTTCTCGTAATCTTCGAAAGGACTCTCTGGGTCAGTAACCTTTTTCTTGTCCTGTCCCTACAACTTTCGCCATCCCGTTTTGGAAAAGTTAACTTTTGACGAGCTTGGTGGAAACCCGGTCCATTCCAAGTCTTTTCTGACCATAGCTGGACTTCTAAGCTTTTCATCTCTTGTACTATAACCCTTTGTTCATTAATGCAGACTATTTACATTTAACGAACACGTTTTTGGTGGATCAACACCTCTTATGAATGATGTAAATAATGAAAATAAAATAAAAGAGAACAAAAATGAAAAGAGTTAGTGAGGGAAAAAAATAATCAAAACAGTCATGAAAATAAAAGTCTTACCCCACATGCTTATTATTCCTACCCGGACATGGTCTCTATCCCGCATGTTAATTTCAAACAAATCATAACCGCATATTTGTCTAATTTACATGCTTTGAACAGAAAGTAAAATAGGAAATAAAATCAAAGCAGCCTAGGGTTTGGAATGAGATTTTGGGGTGGGCTCTAATTCCCTGAATTCTCTCGGTTTAGGTTCTAAAACGCGGTACCCGAGTTCTCCTTGCTGGTGCCCCTTTGGACTTACCAGACCCTTAGTCTTAAGCCTATTACAAGCTTGTGTGGACTAAGTTAAACTGAGATGACACATTCCCTTATGTCTGTGCGGTGAATAAATTCACACGAAGACATAAGGTATATGAATCTCGAAGGCTACTTGCTAGGCCTGTGCGGAGAATAAATTCTCACGAAAGGCGTCGCTTTCACCCCCACTTAAACAGAGTTAGGAGCTCGGGTATAGAGCCTTAGGTGGAAAAAATCTTTAAAGGCTGAAATCATTGAGAAAACAGCCAGTACAACTATTTACTCGAAAATATAATCAAAAGTAAGCAATAAGGATCGAAATGTTACTTTAAAATTTAAACTTACCCTTTTCCTTAAAAAGACAACTGGAAATTACCTTAGCATGACTCACTTACCTTTCCCTAGCGGAGTCGCCAAGTTGTCGGAACCGTCCTTCGGTTGGGCCCGAAATTAGGCTTCGACTTGAAATAATGGAGTAGGAGTCGCAACCGATCTTTTATTTAAAACAAATAGGTATATCGAATACATTATTTCTTACCTGATCTGCGTCTTACCAAAGATGTGTCGGATTCGGGAGTCGGTTACAGTCAATGAAGGGTTAGCACCCTTGAACTGCCCTTTCGGTACTACGTAATTTCCAGTTGTCTTAAATTAAGAAAATTGTATATTTAAATTAAAAGGTAAAAATTGATCCAAATTACCTACCTTAGATTGACTTAAATTGTTCCCTTAAAAAAATCGAAAATCGTGTTAGATAAAAAAAAAGGTAATAAAGACAAACAAAATAGGAAACAAATGACATTAAGAATATAACATAAAAATAGTAAGAAGAGATAAAGAAAAATAATAATAAAAAAATAAACAAAATGAAAGGAGACAGAACATAAGGAGGAAAAAAAGCATAAATAAATATAATAAACAAAATAAAAAAATGACATGAATATAATATAGGAAAATGATGGTAAAAATGATATATACATGATAGATAGATAGATAAATAAAAGTAAAGAAAAAAAATGAAAATAAAAGAAAAGATAGATAAATAAATAAATAAATAAAATATATAAATATATAAGGGAAATGAAATGATAAAAAATTATATATATATATATATATATATATATATTAATATTAATATTAATGAAATAAAAGGGAGAAAGTATATGTATATAAATATAATATTAATACTAAGGGAAATAATATACAAAAATAAAAAATAAAAAAGGTAATAAAAATAAATAAATAAAAGTACGGGGGACCGAATTAGAAGAAGATTAAAACTGCAGGTCAAATTTAGAAGCGAATTAGTGGTTAAAATCGATTTTAGTGTTCAACTTGGGATTAAAAAAACGTTAAGGGACTAAAACATGGTTTACCCTTTTTAAAAGAAAAACACGCGGGTCTCATGCTCCATGGGTCGGGTCGGCGGGATGGATCGGGTTCAATATAAAGCTTAATTTTTTTGAAACATTCATTTGTTGCATTTTAAGCAAAGCCTCCCCTCCCTGTTTTCTTGTTCTCCCGCGTGTTCTTCATTCTGAAGAACATGTCGCCGCTTGCTTCTAGTTTTAGGCCATACGTCGCCTCGTTACCACCGTTGAACGACAACAAAAAAAATTTATTTTTATTTTTTTTAAATCTTGAAAGCTTTTTTAATTTCCAAAAATCAAAACGACTTTCATAAAAAAAGCGCCTCGAGGGTTAGATCTACGAAAGAATATCCCGACCAACCCCTCCGTTCATCGGCAAAAACACCTCCTTTTTACTTTCTATTTCTCTATATTTTCGGTATTTCTCTCGCAAATCCTCTGTGTATTCATGAATCTTCCCCCCTTGTGGTGTTTACATGCCTATTATTTATAGTTTAAAAATACAAGTCTTAGTTCCGACGTTTTAGCATTTTATTTGGACTAAATCACTGCTTGGTTGGTTGTGAATGAATCCCTTCTACTCATGTTGTTGGTAGTGAGAAACGGCCGGCGTAAAGATCGAGCTTGCTGACCGAGATGTTGCAGGAGGCGGGGGGCAAAAAAATTTTAGAAACGGCGCTGGACGAATGAATGGACTAGGGTTCTGGAAACCCTAGTTGCTACATGTCACTTGGAGCTGGTTCGGGTTTAGTTCGCGGGTCCACTACCAAATCTGGGTCACGTGTTGGTGGGCCACTTGGGTCACGTGTAGTTTGGGCCACTGGTTGTTGTGTAATGATTTTGGGCCTGATACAATGTAACAAAAAAGGATGTAAATATATATATATATATATATTATAAAATATAATACGTAACTATATTATATAATATAATAATTTTAATTGAATGGGAAGGGTGAAATTTGTTGTCTTCAATATACATATGTAGTTATCAGTGCATATTTGTTTTTATATCATAGATTATAATTATAACGTGTCCATTTGGTTAGTTTTTATTTCTTTACATATCAAATTTTGGATGCGAAATGATTTTTAATCTCATTTATAGAGTTAAAAAAACTCTCCAAATAGTGACCCAAATAATTATTTTTATGTTATTTTCAATTTTCTATTTAATTGATATTAATTAAAACAATTTTAAAGATAAGGATATTTATTAATAGAATGTATTTAAGATTATAATCATGATTCTTTAGTAATTACAATTATACAAAAGAATTATAATTGCAATCGATCTATGTTCATATATCATTACATAATCAACCAGACTATCAAATTAACCTGCTGAAAAATCAAAATAAATATAGAAAAATCCAATATAATTTTAAATTAACTGCTAGTAAAGTTCAGCTCGATTGATAAAAACATGTTTAAAATTTTAGTTAAATAATTAATGCTTTTAAAACCTTAAATTAACTCGAATTAATAGTCTGATGAAGCCTACAGAGCCTCAACAAACACGAATTAACAGGCCTGGATCACACTCCCACTGAACGTACTACTTTAGGCAACGTGGAAATCAGGTAGGGCTAATATCGTAAAATCTGCAAACCTTCCTCACTTTGTGTTATTTCCGGATCCTGCCATTCCCCCCTTCCCCATAAAAATGGCCCGTCTCATGTTTCCTAGCTGGTTGGTTTCATCTCCCAACGACAACCTTAAAAGAAAGAAAATGCCCCAAAAACTTCATCTTCCTCTTCCTCTTTGGTTCTCAGAAGATTAAGTCGAAAACCCTAAATCTACTCAAAACCGATCTCAAGATTTATTTCCTCTGATCATTCTCGCTTTCATCACTCCAAATCGAACCCGTCATGCTCCTTGTCCGATCATAATAGGTAAAATCCTTCACTCTTACTGCAGCTAGGTTTCTCGAATTTTATGTTTTCTATTTGATCAATGAATTTTGAAGATGATAAAAATAATTGTTCTTACTCTTTTTTTATGCAGACTTTTAGTGGGTTTTGAGAGTTTTAAGTGCCATGAAGCGAGAGTTGGATTTTGGGTTCGATGGTTCAGTTAGTCCAACTCTGGAGTCAGTGGATCAGTCTCTAACTCAGGCGAGTTCTAGTACTAGTTGTAATAGAGTTAAAGGTGCTCATGTGAATGGTTACATTGTTTACACTCGAGTTAAGAAGTTAAGAACTAATTATGGTGTTGAATTTTCGGAGAACAATAGAAACAAATATAATCTGTTAAATGGTGTTCAAAAGGCCTTAATTGATGAGTATCAGGAGAATAGAACTTTGAATAAATCCAGTAGTCTGAAGTCTGAACAGTAATGAAATTGAAGGTGTGATTGGAGGTAGACCAAACAATGAAAATGCAGCGAGGGATAATGTGGTTATAGAAAATGCAGTGGATGAGAGCTTAGTTGTACGAGATTTTGTTGAAGATGGTCTACTTGTAGAGGCTCGCATTGAAGAGAGTCATATTATTGGGGAAAATGCCATTGTAGGGAACTTGGTAGTTGAGGAAATTGGAAGAGATGATAGGCCTGTTCAATCAAGGCTTCATGAAGTGTCAATTTATAATTTGGCAATGTCCATGTCTAAAGAGTATTCTGTGAATGAACCGGAGACGTCTCTGACTGATAAAGGATGTTTCGAAGGTTCATCAAAACATATTGTTGATAGTAGTGTTGGAAGTAATGATGATGTATGCTTGAAGGCCCTGAGGCGGTCTAAACAATCGTTATCGAGACCAAATGTTGAAGCAGTAGACAATTTGGAATGTGAACAACAAACTGTTGAAAATGTTCTTGTATCAAATTTTGGTGGAGAGGAATCAGCTGAAGAAAGTGGATTGACAACTTTAAGGAAGAACTTGGAGTTGAAAATGTCAAAAAAGGTTGCCCTTACTAAGTGTCCAGTGACAGTTAAAGAGCTATTTGACACTGGTTTACATGATGGGGTTCCTGTAGTTTACATGGGCACAATAAGTAGTAAGGTGGTTCCTTGCTGCCTCTGTTAAATGTTTATCCTCTATTTTTCCTATTTATGGTTTATTTTTTACTGAAATTTAAATGTAGCGGGTAACATAAGGCTTAAAGGCTTAATATTAGTTGTATATGTATTCAGACAGCTGGCCTTCGGGGCATCATTACAGACGGTGGAATTTTGTGTTCATGCTCCTTGTTCGAGGGACGTAGAGTAAGGAATCTCTTTTCAAAATGGAGATTTTGGTCTTTCTGTAACTTCCTAAACTAATAATTGCTTACTTAACTTTTTTTTTATAGGAATTGCAGGCCTCGTTAAAAACCTCCTTCATGATTAAAGGAGCTTATAGAGAAGCTCCTTAATCAACGGAAGGAGGAAAAGAGTGCCTTAAGATTTTATTAACTATAGAAAGAACACGATACAACCAGGGAGCCACCCCCAATATGAACAAAACACCAAAAACAGCCACCAACAATCCTACCAGAACCAGCCTAATCCAACAAAGCAACAACAACAGCCTAAAAAAGGCTGGCCAAACAAAAAACCTAAACGAGGCCCGATAGACACTCAATCAAACAAAACAACCAGAAAAAAGCCAAGGGTGACAGTTGACTAAAACCATAAAAGCCAACTTCTAACTCAAAGGCCACGGAGCTTTCACATGATAAGAAAACAAAAAAAACACGCATATAGTCGCCTTTCCACCACATCACCACGTCTTGTTGGCTAAAGACCATCCGAACCTCCAGCTCCACTTCACAACGAAGGGGCCATCCATGATTTCAACTTCCCGACGAAGGATATTGTGTCTACCAGCAACATTCATCCTTAGATTTGATTTCAACTTTACGGCGAATGATATCCAATTCGAGGCTCAACTTCACAACAAATGGGTCATCCACGATTTCAAATTCACGACGAAGGATATCGTGTCTACCAGCAACATTCATCCTTAGATTGGATTTCAACTTCATGATGAGCTCAACTTCACAACGAAGGGGTCATACACGATTTCAACTTCACAACGAAGGATATCGTGTCTACCAGCAACATTCATTCTTAGATTGGATTTCAACTTCACGACGAATGATATCTAATTCCAAGCTCAACTTCACGACGAATGAGCCATCTACGATTTCAACTTCACGACGAAGGATATCGTACCCAAAAGATTGACCCAACTTCACGACGAATGAGTTATCTACCACAACAAACATCGAAGTCTTCAGGTCAAGTTCCATGCTTTACGAAGAAGTATCTTGAGCCAGAAGACGATTCAGAGGCCACTTGCCAAAAGCTTTGAGTTCGATTTCAACTTCACGACGGATGATATCATGCTCAGAAGTTTCCAGTTCAACTCAATCTCACGGCAAGGGAGTCATTTCGTGGTTTAATCTTAATATCGGATTTTAACTCTACGACAGAGGACATTCGATATAACCGAAATTTGTGTCTTTTAATTTTTGCTCTATTTTCGTTACACGATAATGAGCAAAGAGGTGCAACTGAAGACACTCAATTTTATCCTTTAATATTATGTTATATAATATACTTACGTTATTATATAATATATATATATATACATTTATTTATTTATTCCATTTACATATTTCAGGTCCATTACAAAAAACCAAGACCCAGAAGCTCAATTTACAGAAGTCAGCAGCCCACAACTCATTACACACCAAACCTATATCCATGGCCCAACAGCAGTGACCCAGACCCGCGAATCGAACCCGAATCGGTTCAGGACCCGCTGAAGCTAGGGTTTCCAAAACCCTTGTTCTCCTTCAAGCGTCGTAACAATACCCCGCCGAGGACACTCCATTCCTCACACAACTAACAATCAACCCTGTTTTTCGATGCACCAACAGACACAACAACAATGTTAGTGTTTTGCTAGGATTCAAACTCATAAAAATAGGATTTACAAGAACTATAAATCACATGTAACATCACACAAAATAAACACAAAAAATACAGAGGATTTACACACACGATACCCATGAAATACCAGAAAAATTCAAAGCAAATACAAGATCATTCCGAAGCATTTTTTGTAACAATTTTGAAAAGCAATAAAAGGTAAAATCTCACCTTTCGTCTGTCGATGCTTGCATATGGGAGTGGTATTTGTTGTTCGTCGTTTTGGTTCGAAAATAACAAAAAAGAATTGAAGATTTCTTCTTTAGATCTACACTTCCTCGAGGAGTTTTTGAAAAAAAACAGATTTGATATTTGAAGAGAGGGAAGGAAAATATTTGAGAAAAGTGTAATTTTTTTTTTTTACTTTCGCCGGCGAGGCGAGGCGACGAGCCACCAGTTTCTGGAAAACACGGTGGTCGTTCTTCATGTTCTTGAAGAACATAAGAACAGAGGAGAGAAAGCTTTGAAGGGGGGCTTGGTGTTTTAAAATGAATCAAATGATTTTATTTTAGAGTTATTTTTTAGTTAAATACTCGACTCATGGGTCATCTGTGACCCGCCAGCGACCCGACCCACCAAGAAGGATCCGCGCGTTTTGCTTTAAAAAGGGATAAACTACGTTTTTGGTCATCCTAGTTTTTAAATCTTATATTTTAACCTCTAATTCCTTTTAATTTCACTCCCTAAATTGTATTTCCTTTCAATTTAATCCTCTTATTTTTTTATTTGTTTGTTTTATTTTTTGTTTTATTACTTTGTTTATTCGTTATTATATATATATATTTTCCATTTTATTATTATTATTTATTATTAACGTATGTATATATAAATTTATTTTTATTTATTTATTTTTATTATCATTATACATACTCTTTATTTTATTTTATTTATTTATTTATTTTATTTTTATTATTATTTAATACTATATTATATACCTACACATAATTATTATGATCATCTACCTAACCCCCTTTGTCCTCATTTACCAAAATTTCCCCCATTTTCGGTAAAGTGATGGGGTAGTTTTTTTATATTTATTATGTATATATGTATATTTCATTTGTCTTATTAATATTTTGATATGTATATATCTTTTTTCTTTTTAAAATATTACTATATGTATATCTATATAATTTATTTACTATTATTTTTTCATTATCTTACTTTATTACATATATATATATATATATATATATATATATATATATATATATATATATGCACTACCTACTTTGCCCCCTCCTTTTTTTCATATTATATCTCTCTCTCTCACCATGCTTTTTTTTTCTTTTCGATGAATTGATAGGTTATGTTTGTTGTTTTTTATTTTATTTTTTTCTAGTATTTATTTATTATTATTTCATTATTTTTTTTCACTTGTTTTATTTAACACTATATTATATATTATTTTTATTATTTTTATTATTATTTATTTTTGTTTCTTTTTTTATTTAATTCCATTTTTCCTTGTTTTTATTTTTGTTTTATTTTATTTTTATTTATGTTACCATTTTGTTCATTTTGTTTTATTTTTATTTTTACTTATTTTATTATTTTTTTATTGTTGTTCTGTTTATTATTTTCATATGTGCGCACTTTCTGTCTTAATTCGATTCTATACTTCACTACAAATCTAACATTTTTAAGAATATTTCAATCGATCAGAAGTAAGTAACTTGGATCTTATTTTACCTTTCAATTTTCTTAATTAAAGACAACTGGAAATTAAGTAGTACCGAAAGGGCAGTTCAAGGGAAGGGTGCTAACCCTTCCTTGACTGTAACCGACTCTCGAATCCAACATATCACTGGTAAGACGCAGATCAGGTAAGAAATAAGGTATCCGATCAACCCATTTTATTCTTAAAATAAATGATCGGTGGTGACTCAAATCTGTTTTATTCAAGTCGAAGCTCAATTACGGACCCATCCGAAAGACGGTTCCGACAGAAGGCTTGAAAATGAGGGAAACCATCGGCGAGGCCAAGCTACTTGAATTCATCTTCAATCCTATGCTTCCCCTTGGCCTTGTAAATGGTCATTACGATAATGTCGCCTTAGAGGAGTGCCCAACTCCGATGACTGTCGTCCGATTCCTTTGGTAAAACCGGCTCGCATGCTATCAGTTTTCCTCTAACAAGGAGTGCCTTGTAACAGTTCTCCATTATCGCCTTGCATTCATCATCCGTCCATGTTATCAAAACCCACGGCACCACCAAATTCATGTCATCGCCTTCCTCATATAACTTTTTCTTCATTTTTTTAAATATCAAACTATTTAAAAGAAAGCAGGTTGATCCTTCTACTACGTTCAAATTTAGTTCCTTTATTACCACAACCAGAATGCAACCCTAAAGTTAACGGACCACCCAATGCCGCTGGTGACGGTGACAAAGTAAATATCAATAAATAAGGCGATAAACAAAACCACGTTTTGTACAACTCCCAGTTGAAACCAAACGAATCTTGTCCGATTCATGCAGTGGAAACCAAGTAAAGTGCTTTTTAGAGATGGACTGAGACCATCTTATTTCTTAAAATTTTAGATTTTTATATAATTTAAATATTTTATATTAATAGTTTATCTTTGTTCCTTAAAATTTTTTATATTCATAATTTTTTTTTTATAAATTCACTCTATATGATAAAATCGTGTATACTTTTTTTACTAAAACTTTAAATTTAGGATAATTACACCGTTCCTCATTGAATTTTACTCTCTCTTATTTTGATCACCGTACTTTTAATTTTTCTATTTTGATCACTGAACTTTACAGATTGAATCGTTTGCTCACTATGTTGTTAACTCTCCAATAGTATGATGACATGCCATTTTTAATTATTATTTAATCGTCAATTACATCGTTCCGTTCTATCTCTTATTTTGACACCCAACTATAAAATAGAAACAGAAGGTGAACGGAATTAACCACAGTTGATGGTGGTCGTTCGATCCCAAATTCATGGTTCAGTTCATCTCGACCCAATGAGTTCAAATCTGGTGGTTGTTTCATCAAAAAATGTCTCAAAATCTATGAATCTCGACTGAAACGTTTCAACTTTCTCAGTTTCAATCTCCGATTCATGGATTTCGAAGCAAGTTCTGACAAAATAGAAGTCAAATTTGGACTCAAAGTATCGAGGCAAAACGACCCATGAAATTTGAGATCAAACGATCACCATTTACGGCGATCGATGGTGGTCGGCGGTAGCATCCAACCACCTTCTATTTTTATTTTATAATTGGGTGAGCAAAATAAGGAGTAAAGTTCACTTAAGAACAATCTTTAGAACAATGTAATTTACCCTTTATATTTTCAATTAGTTTAAATTAAATAAAAATAA